AAGAACAACAAAATAGGAGGCCTCAGTCTTCCTGATTTCAACCCTACCACACAGTCCGGGCAGTCATGGCAGACACATAGACCAATGAAACAGCACTGAGATGCCACCTGTGGACAAAGGGCCAAAACACATCAAATGGGGAAGATAGTCTCTATAACACTGGAGCCAGCAAAACTGACTGTCCATTTGCAGAAAAATGAAACGGGTCTCATATATCAAAGACAAAAATAAACTCAAAATGGATCAAAGAGCTACATGTCAAATCTAAAACTATAAAGGCCATCAAAGGAAAAGTAGAGACAAACTTAGGAGTCCTGATCCATGGCATCAATACACTATCAAGCATAATGGAAAATACATACACAGCAGAAGACAAACTAGATGGCTGAGACCTCCTAAAAGTTACACACTTATGTGCATCAAAAGATTTCACCAAAAGAGTAACAAAATTTTTGCTGATGACATATAAGACAAGTGACTAATCTGTAAAATTTATTGTTGTTGTTGTTAAGTGCCGTTGAGTCAGTTCTGATCCATAGCTACAATAGTTTCCCAAGTAGTGGCTGGAGGATTTGAACCGCTGACCTTTTGATTCAAACTGACCTTGCGATCGAGCACACTAACCCACAGCCCACACTACAACTCCCTCAATATTTAAACAGCAAAAAGACAAATAATCCATTTTTTAAATGGGCAGAGGACATAAAGAGACACTTCACCAATGAAGAGATTTACATGGCCAACAAACATGGAGAAATGCTTGCAATCATTGTTGATTACTGTTGTTAAGTGCCATTGAGCCAGTTTTGACCCATAGCAAACCTGCATAGGATTTCTAAGGAGCAGCTGGTGAACCTGAACTGCTGACCTTGCAGTTCAAACTGACTTTGCAGTCCAGCACATTAGCCCACAGTGCCACACCAGGACCCTAATCATTGGTGATTAGAAAGCTGCTAATCAAAAGAATAGTGGATGTATCATCTGACCCCAGCATTAATAGCAAACCAAGTTCAGAAAAACAAACAACACATGCTGGTGAGTTTGTAGAGAGACTGGGACCCTCCTACACTGCTAATGGGACTGTAAAATGGTGCAATCACTGTGCAAAACAGTATGGTGCTTCCTCAGAAAGTTG